CGCAGTTCACTTTGAATACGGCCCACAAGGGCCTGACGGATGCGCTGAGGGAGAGTGGTTACGCGCACAACCGTGGGAAAAGTTGCATTTCTCCGTCGTTCGTCAGTCGAGGAGCTCACGCACATGCTGCAGCGATCTTCGGGGGACAGGTGAAGGTGGAGGGGCAGGTGCAGTTTGATAACATCGCGCTCGGAATCCAGACTGCCGTGAACGGAGGAGTTCAAGGAGAGTTGAGGAGACGGATCTTGGCGTGCAGGAGGGGGTACTATTCGATGGGGAGGTTTTGGTCTCGGAACAGGGTGTGGCGTTTTATTCGTGCGGTATTCGGGGCCGTCGTGCAGGGTGCGCTTTTTGTCGGGCCTCACCACCCTCATCCTGACAGAGGCCCAGGAGTCTCGGCTTGATCGTGTGCTGGTCGGGTTCGGCCGAAAGTTGCTCGGAGGCGATGCGCGTGCTAAGACGACGGTAGTGGACGGCGACGGCCTGCCCATTAGTGACGACGAGGGTCATGAGGTGCTCAAGTATAAGGCCCTCTCCGATGCGGTCGTCCTGCGCAGAGTGGGGGTGGCGCCTTCTGGGGTCGAACTCTCTGTCCGCCGACTTCGCGCATATCGTCGCTGGCTCGTGTGTCCCTCTCGGCACCCTCAAGAGATCGCTGCGGTGTTTGGGCAGCTCCCGCTGGAAGAGGCCCCCACGGTTTCGGAGAACGGCACCCTCGGGAAGAAGGCGAACCCGTACGCTCGCAGGTTTGCTCAGGATGTTTTGCGGCTCCTGGACCGCTCCGACGCTAAGGATCTGGAGGGGCTGCTCATGGTTTCGGCCCCGTCCCTGGAACCCTGGAGGCGCTTGAATGTTCGGGCGCTTTTTCTGGACGACGACCTTCGTGGGAGGTACCTTGCCCTGGATCCAGGCCTTTTTCGAGCCGCGGCACGGACGGTAGCGGTTCCACTTCCTTTTGGACTGTATGGACCTGCTGAGGCCGTTCCCGAGGTGCCCGAAGTCGTCCCGCCGCCGCCTGCGGCGACATGGACATGCGATCTACGCGGTCGCGACGGAGCTGAGTGCGGTCGAGTTTTCAAGACTAGACGGGCCCTTCTGGCGCACCAGAGGTTTTCTCTAGGGGGAGACCATTCGTGCCGATCGGTGGTGCACACGGCCACGGTTACGAACCAATGTATTTTTTGCAGTCAGACGCTTCGGACTAGGAGGATTGCCCAGGAACATCTCGCCCAGGCTACGCTTACAGGCAGGTGTTTCGCCCAGGCCTCCCCCTTCAAGCATCCCATCGTGCCGCCTGAGTCCCTGGAGTGCCCGTTCGTGTCTCTCAAGGTGTGCTCGGTGCATGGCGGTACCTCTTCGGATTTCTGTTGCTCCGTCGAACAGCCGTTTAGTACACTCTACGAGCTTTCTCGGCACCTGCGCGAGGCCCACGCCCCACGGGAGCCTCTCTACTCGACGGTTCGGACGCGCTCTGATGTACCGCCTTTCCGACGAGGCCTTGCGGGAGGCAGGGGCTCGTTCTCGCTCAACCCAGCGAGGAGGTTCTCAGCCGAGAGGGCGGGCAGGCCGATCTGGCTCGGCAGCCGCTTCCCGCAGGCGTGGCGGGGGGCGCGGTGCCAGGCGCAGCGCCGAGCCTCGAGGCGCCCGGCAGCGCGGACAGGCGTCGGTAGGAGGAGCGGTGGCGGCTCAGCTCGGCAAGGCCTACGGCCTGGAGGCCGACGTGTTCAACAAGTTGCCGCCGATGGACCTTCAGACGATGGCCAAGATATTCCCCATCCTGATTCGTGGCGTGCTGGCAAACTCGCACCAGATTCGGGCCTTGAGTGCAGCGGAATTTCAAACCTTTCTGTTCGACGAGAACGCCGAGATCTCGCAGCAAGGACTGGCAGCAGGCAGGGCCTACGCGAAGCAAGCGGCGGCCATGAGGGAGGAACACGCCAAGGATCAGGCAAAGCCACTCCCCGAGGTAGCCACGGGGCCGGCTTGCGTTCAAGTCTTTCTCATCGTGCGCAAGGCAATCGTGAGGGCAGGCGTGGCGGTCGGGGCGGTCAACCAGCAAAAGTGGCAGGGGCAGCAGCAGAAGCTGGACGGCATCACGAATCTCACGGAGTTCGGTCTTCTGGTTCGCGGCTTCAGGGTGTCTCACGCATACAGGGAAGGCCAAGCGAAGATCACCTTCTCGTTTGCGGACTTGTCGCTGACGTCAGTTTTCATAGCGCGCCTCACGCAGCTGGGAGGGGAGCTGAAACCAGGGGTCGCACCTCGCTCGAACACGGAGCGGATACTCCAGCTGGCGATCGACAACTTCGAGCAGTAGACTCGGGTGTCAGCTGGCGCGTCGTATCTCACAGTGATCGGCCTCGCTGTGTTACAGCGGCCCCGCCTACTCCGATTGCCAGGGGGAGGCCGATGGCTGGGTCGACATCGGGCCTGGCAACCGCAGACCCCCTCCGCCTAGGCGGTTCCCAAGGGATTAAAGGAGGGGAGCGTCTCGGGGGCCAGGCCACAGCTGCGTCGGGGACCTTGCCTTTGTCGATTGCCACGTGGAGGTCGATGGCTGGGTCGTCACCGGGCCTGGCAATCGCAGACCCCCTCCGCCTCGGCGGTTCCCAAGGGATTAATGGAGGGGAGCGTCCCGGGGGCCAGGCCAGGGCTGCGACGGGGACCTTGCCTCTGACGATTGCCACGAGTGGATCGGCGACCTCGTCACTCCCGATTGCTGCGAGTGGATCGGCGGCTCTGGCTACTTCGATTGCCACGAGTGGCTCGGCGGGCTTGGCTATTTCGATTGCCACGAGCGGATCGGCGGATCGGTCGTCTCCGATTGCTGCGAGTGGATCGGTGGCCTTGCCTTCTCCGGTTGCCTCGAGGGCTTCGGCGACGCGCACTGAGGGGGAGTGCGACCTCGAGGCGCGTGCCGCTGCTGTCGCTCGTCCGTCAGTTCCTCCTCCTCCTCCTCCGAGTCCTCCTTCTCCTCCTCCTCCTCCTCCTCCTCCTCCTCCTCCTCCTCCTCCTCCTCCTCCTCCTGCCAGACAGTACAGTTTTAAGGAGCTTGTGCGAGTTGCCACACGTTTTTGAGCTTAGTTTCCGCTTTGCCGCTCGGCCCTGGTGTCCCAAACTTTAGTGCGCCTCGTTTTCGCAATCGTGGTTGAGCGATGACAAGTCGGGGCTCCCACCCGAGTGGGTGGCCGTTCTCGAATTTTCCCCGCATGGGGCACGCACGGTAGGTCGCAATCCTTCGAGCTGCTATCGGAGCATTGATTTAAGTCGAATTATATCGACCTTCGGCCCAACACCGCTCCGCCGCCGTCGCGCCTCCTCCGCCTCCTCCTCCTCCTCCTCCTCCTCCTCCTCCTCCTCCTCCTCCTCCTCCTCCTCCTCCTCCCCCTCCTCCTCATCCTCTCCTCCTCCTCCTCCCCCTCCGTCCCCCTCCCCCTCCTCCTCCTCCTCCTCCTCCTCCTCCCTCCTCCTCCTCCCTCCTCCTCCTCCTCCTCCTCCTCCTCTCCTCCTCTCCCCTCCTCCTCCTCCTCCTCCTCCCTCCTCCTCCTCCTCCTCCTCCTCCTCCTCCTCCTCCCTCCTCCCTCCTCCTCCTCCTCCTCCCTCCTCCTCCTCCTCCTCCTCCTCCTCCTCCTCCTCTCTCCTCCTCCTCCACCTCCTCCTCCTCCTCCTCTTCCTCCCCCCTCCTCTCCTCCTCCTCCTCCTCCTCCTCCTCCTCCTCCTCCTCCTCCTCCTCCTCCTCCTCCTCCTCCTCCTCCTTCTCCTTCTCCTTCTCCTTCTCCTCCTCCTCCTCCTCCTCCTCCTCCTCCTCCTCCTCCTCCTCCTCCTCCTCCTCCTCCTCCTCTCCTCCTCCTCCTCCTCCTCCTCCTCCTCCTCCTCCTCTCCTCCTCCTCCTGCCTCCTCCTGCTCCCTCCTGCTCCTGCTCCTGCTCCTCCTCCTCCTCCTCCTCCTCCTCCTCCTCCTCCTCCTCCTCCTCCTCCTTCTCCTCCTCGTCATCGTCCCTGTCTTCCTGTGCCCGAGTGCGGGATAGTTCAGGGTTATCGGCCGCTTTTGCGTGCAAGGCGCCGTCCCTGACCGTGGCAGATGTTTTTTTGCCACGGCTTGTCGTGTGGACAGCTCCCTCGACTCGACCCCACAGCTCTCGCTTAGTGGTGCCAGTTCAGCTTTCGGTTGGTTTCGCGTCGGTCTTTGCTGAATTGAACTTGCCCCCCAGGCAGATTCTGTCGCCTATGGCGGTGGTTTCGCTCCATCTGTGGTCGCGCTGTCCCTCCCAGGAGCAAGATCCTGACATCCTCCGTCTTTTCATCGCCCCAATGCTTCCCTGTGCCGTTCCTGCCCTCCCTCAAGGGGGACGACGACACCGACGGCGGCGACGAAGACGACGCTGACGCTCCTCGCCCCCGCCTCCCCCGCCCTCCCCTCATCCTCGTGAAGTAAGCTGGGCGCGTGCTCTCTACAGGTGCCCATGGTCCCACGCGACTCCACTTTTGCATGCTCGCTCGCTCGCTCCTCCTCCTCCTTTTCCTCCTCCTCCTCCTCCTTTTCCTCTTCCGCCTCCTCCGCCTGCTCCCCCTCCTCTCTGTGTGCCCGTGGTCCCACGCCCCATCCGAGCTGCCCATCGTCCCCCCTCACCGGTGCCGCAGAGGGCAGAGGGGCCGTCCTGCGTTGCACCGTCCAGACGCTGGTGCAGGGACCATCGTGGGCTCGGGAGGGGCTCTGGTTCTCGGGGCGCTCCCTCGATCCGGGTCGGGCGATGCCTCTGCGAGGCCGAGGCTCGCCGTCGCCAGGAGCGCCTCTGCCTTCCCGGTGCGGCGGTCCTGCGGGCCGGCGCCCCGCACATGCGGCACCCGCCCACCCTTGGCATCGCTCGGACGTGTGCATTTTTCCTTCGGCGAGGGCCATCGAGGAGCATCCTTGATCATTTGGCGAAAAAACCACGCATGAAACCGAACAAAAACACAGGGAATGGACGTCCGAGCGATGGCGAGGCACCCGCCCACCAGGCTGGGCAGGCGGCCCGACGAGCTCTTCTTCCAGCTCGACGCCAACAGGGACGGCAGGCCACGCGGGGGCGCCGCTCGGGGCGGCCGCGCGCACCGCCAGGCAGCAGGTTTTGCCCACCGCGCACCGCGGTTCGTCAGACGGCCGGGTCCCCCGCAGTGGCGCGGGCTACCCGCGCTGCGCGCATCGCGGTCTGGGCCAGGGCGGGTGCTCTTCTCCAAGTGGGGGCGCGAGGGCGCGAAGATGAACGCGCGTGGCGCACCGTGGTGCACGATGCGCGAAGTCAGCTGACCTGCGACAGAGCAATCTCTTGTCCGGGGGCCTCTCCCATTCTCGGCCGACGGATGGACTGGCCTCGGCCGAGTTCGCCTCCAGGGGGGCAAGCCTGGATTCAGAGGAGCAGGGAGGCACGATAATGATACGTCCCGCGATTTCCAGGATTCCCCAGGCGTCCCAGAGTTCCGATGTTTCCGCATGGGCTCCAGAAGCGAGGGCCGCTAGTGACTTCTGAAACTCCTGGAATGTATCCTGAGCCAATCGTATCACTGTTCCCATCCTATGGGTGGCGCACTGAGAGGGCGCCATGAGGCGGCGCAGGCCAGGACGAGACTGACGTTCGTCTTGGCGGCGCCTTCTCCGTCGCGACTGCCGAGCTGGGGAGTGCGCTCGGGGAATAGTGATGGCCCTGTCTTCCCGTCTGGCCTCCTCATCATTTCCAGGGTTGGGTCGGCTGCGCCTCAGAAGTGAGCACGCGCTCTTCTCCTGCTCGCCATCCTCTCCCTCTGGCTCCCACTCATCCTCATGATCCCCCTCCATCTCCTCCTTCTCCTCCTCCTCCTCCTCATCATCATCATCACCTTCCTCAGCATCCCCCTTCTCGTCCTCATCACCATGTCTCGCCGTCTTCTCCGCCGCATTCCCTCCCTCTCTCCCTCCCGCCATTCACGCGCTGGCTGCTTGCATTCCTAACTACATTCGTACCAGAAACATCAGATTATGTAGCACCCCGCAGTTGGGCGCGGGGTGGGTCGTGGGTGGGTCGCGGGCGAGTCGCGGGTGGGTCGTGGGGTGGGTCGCGGGTGGGTCGCGGGTGGTTCGCGCCTTGGTCGCGGGTAGGCTGCGGGTGGGTCGCAGGTGGGTCGCAGGTGGGTCGCGCGGGGGTCGCGGACGGGTCGCGCGGTGGTTCGCGGGTTGATCGCGGGCGGGTCGCGGGCGGGTCGCGGCGTGGGTCGCGGGTGGTTCGCGGGTGGTTCGCGGGTGGGTCGCGGGTGGATCGCGGGTCGGGTCGCACAGTCGGTGGGTCGCGGGTGGATCGCGGGCCGGGTCGCGGCGGGACGACGACAACAAACAACAAATAACGACCACCATACAGTGGAAGGCGTGACGTTCCCACACCAAGAATCAATGGACGTCCTGGGGTCTCAGGGTTGGGTTTCTTGTGGAAGGTTTCTTGTGGATTGGCCTCCATTGCACAACAAACAGCAAACGACGAATGATAACCATAGATCAACAAACAAACAGTAGCATCAGCAACAACAGCAGCAACAACAACAATCCGCGCCGCGGAAGCCCCTTTCAGCCACGCGCTCGAGGACAGACAGTGAATGACCGTTCGGCCCCCTTACTCTGATTATGCAGGCCCCCTATCCGCCAGGGCAGCGTGTTATCGAAATGTCAGACATCCGGCGATACCTTTGAGCAACCATGTATTGCGTCGGTGCGGTGAGACAGCGCAGCGGAAAGCAGCGCTACATCATGTCATCGAACCGTCCCAGTTGCGTTCATCAGCAAACCCACAGCAATTACGTTTCGACCATCGGCACGCACAGAAAAAGCAGACATTGGCAGCAAGCTTCGTTCGTGTCCTGGGACATGCCTCTAACGAAGGTGGAGTAGAACGTCATCACGGGAGCAGTTGGCAAATCACCGCCGCCCATTGCCGTCTTGAACCGCTTGTGCGAGCTGCGGCTGAACCAGATGGAAGTGTCATCTTGGGGCCAGTTTGGGATTATTGTCTGGTCTTCTGGGGGCTTCCTGGCGCCCTCTTGAGCCGTCTTGTGCCGCCTCGGGGCGCTCTTCTGCCGTCTGCCGCCGTCGGAGGCCTGTATTGGGGCCGTGTTGCAGCTGTCTGGGGGGGGGGGGGGCTGCTTCGGTCACGTCGGAGCCCTCTTGGGGACCTTTGGGGCCATGCTGGAGGGGTTGAGGGCAATGCGTGGACGCGAGAAAGAGAAAGGGAGAGAATCAGAGCATCGGGGGAGAAATGTACCAGCCGCCTCAGGCCCATCTCACCACGGTGCTTGGGACGTGAACGCGGGCACATGGAGGCTTGTTGCGGCTTCCTGGGGGCGGGGCATGTTCGGGGCCCCCGGCGACATCCTGGGCCCCTCTTGGGGGCGTCTTGGGCCTTCTTGGAAAGATTCGGGGCCGTCTTGGAAGTCTCTTGGGCCGTCGTTGGCTCTTGGGGCACTGAAGAGCTGAGAACGCTAAGCACAGTTCAATTCCTCTGACGGTAGGACCCCGCATGAGACGGCTCCAAAAAAAATTGGAACTAGCACTCATCGTCGTCTGTGTGACTACCGAAAGTTCTCTTCCTGTCTGGTATCTGCTGGTCCTCGCCGATGCTGGCAAGCTTGATCGAGGATGGCCGCCTCGGATTACAAGAGACGCTCGGCAAAGGAGCGAGGCTCCCGCTCGAGACGTTCTCAAGCTTCGGACTCCCAGGTGTCACCAAACCCGTGCTTGTATAGGAGATCCCGGTGGCCGCCTCGGCTTTCATATCATGAGACGGGGGACCCATAGGAAGGGGCTCCCGTTCGAGACTTCCTCGCGGTTCACTTACGGGCGAACGCCCGAGACATCCTCCCATTTTGTTCGGGATGGAGGTTCCCGCTTGAAGCTTCGTCTGGGTTCAGCCTCCCGGGATCTTGATGGCCGCCTCCGCTTGCCATCATGGAGGCGGGGACCCCGTAGAGAGGGGGGTCCTGCTCGAGGCCTCCTCGCCCAGGCTCCAGACCCCATAGGGAGCGGCTCCCGCTCGAGATTCCCTCGGGATTCACTTGCAAACGAGTGAACTCCCGAGGCATCCTTTCAGTTTGCTCATGACCGAGGCTCCCGCTAGAGACTTCCGCGGGATTCACGCCCCCTCGTGTCACCAAACGTGTGTTTTGACACGGTTTTCCGATGGCCGCGTCGGTTTGAACATGGAGGCGGGGACCCCATAGGGAGGGTCTCCCGCTCGCAGCTTCCTCGCGATTCACTCAGACGAGGTTCCCGCTCGAGACTTCCTCAAGGTTAGTGTGCGAGTGTGTGAGTGAGTGAGTGCTGTGATGACGTGGATGATGATGCTTGTCGGCTGCAACGATGGTATGATGATAGTGAGAACTGTGATGTTCCTGATGCCAGTGATCGCGAGACGAGGGTCATGATGACGGTGAAGATGATGGTGACGGTGATGATGGTGATGATGATAAGCATGATGTTGGTGTTGATGATGTTGATGATGAGGATGTTGATGTTGTTGTTGATGATGGTGGTGATGGAGATGCCGAGTATAATGATGATGATGATGGTGATGATGATGATGATGGTGATGATGATGATGATAATGATGATGATGCGTGTGGTGAGTATGGTGATGGTGATGGTGATGGTGTTGCTTATGATGATGATCATGAAGCTTACGCTAATAATAACGACTACAACGATTGTAACGATGATAACGGTGATGACGATGTTGACGATGATGATGATGATGATGATGATGATGATGATGATGATGATGATGATGATGACGATGATGATGATGATGATGACGATGCTGTAAATGATGTTGATGATGGCAATGATGATGCTGCAGCTGCGGATGGTGATGGTGATGATGGTGATGATGATGACAATGCTCATGATTATGCGGATGATGATGATGATTAGGATGATGTTGGTGATGTTGATCATGGTGATGATGACCATGATGCTGATGTTGGTGATGGTCATGGTCATAGTGAGGATGTTGACGATTGTGATGATGCTGAGTGTGACTGTTTGGGAGAGTAACTGAGTGAGTGAGTGAGTATCGTGGTTAGCGAGGCCGGTGCTGGTGTGAGAAGAGGAGGACAGATGGGATCAGTGAGTGATGGGGATAGGGGATGGTGACGATGATGATGGTGTGCGTGTGGGGGGAGTTCTTGTTCCTGCGCGGGGTGTCCAGAGAACACTACCCCGACGGTAGGACCCCCCTTGTAATCCTCATCTTCGTCCTGGTGATTACGGAGGCTATTTTTCGCGTCCCCCCCGTCTGTTCAAAGGCGCCCCGCAGACAGTGCCGTCTTGCTTGCGGAGCAGGCAGTGCGCGCTAGGAGCGCAGAGGTCGTAGCGCAGGCGGTCCACCAAGGACTTCTGAAAGTGTCCACTGGGGACCTTCGCTCCCATCTCGCTCCTTCTCCTCCTGCTCCTTCTCCTGATCCTCCCCCTCCCCCTCTTCCTCTCTCCCCCTGATCCCTGCTCCTCCCTCCTCCTCCCTCCTCCTCCTCCTCCTCCTCCTCCTCTTCTTCGTTCCGCCGCGACTGTGCCTCTCTGCCAGGTTGACCCGGCAAGAGCTTGAGCCGACTCTCCGCAGCTTGCAGCCCGACATTTCCCCCCAGCAGCTCGACGCGATCATCCGCCGTTTCGACATCGACGGCAATGGCGAGGCGCCCAGGGATATCCAGACATGCGGAGGCTGCAAGAGGCTCGAGGATCTAAGTTTTTGTGTGTTTTTGTTTTTTTGGGGAGAGCGTTTTGGAGGCAACTGGCCGCCACAGTAGGATCCGCCTCGATCCAAGACCCCCTCGCGCCGTGACACAATCACGACAGGGGTGATTTGACAAATCGGATGCTATTACAAGCCCCCAACACAGTAAAATAGTTACACACGGGATGGAAAACCGGTTCTGGGGATTGGGTCGGGATTTCTCGGATTCCTCCGCAAGGCACCCAGGGGGACGGCCTTGCGTTGACGGTAACTTATATTGCACGTTTGCGCCAGGCTGAGGCGGAGGCGACTCCAGAGCGGGCGTTCAAGATTGTGAACGAACCCAGTTGCCTGAAATTGGCGATTAACATCGGAACGCCAGCATCGTTTCAGTTTGCACGATGGGATCAGGGACGCGGACACGAACTTGCGTTATGTCTTTATATTGTCCCTGACTCCGCCCGCGTAGGCTCTTGCGAGGACGCGCATAATATCAGACCGGCATGGAAGGAGACACAAGTGGGACCACCAAAGACACAGTGGAAGCCTTCTGTTCTGCGCCATCGTCCCAAAGGGGACGGAGGAGTTGGAGGAGCTGTTGGAGGAGGAGGAGGAGGAGGAGGAGGAGAGAGCAAGGAAGGGAAGGGTCTGGCGATCTTTGTTTTTCGCGAGGCCACGGCCAGATCCGCGCCGAACTCCTGGTTTCAGTTAGCTGCATGAGCGGGCCAGACGTCCGTTTTGAGAGAGGAGGAGGAGGACGACGATGACACGAAATGGAGGAGGAAGAGAAGGAGGAGGAGGAGGAGGAGGAGGAGGAAGAGGATGCGGAGGAGGGAGGGCGGAGGAGGAGGAGAGGGTGGAGGAAATGGAGGAGAGGGAAGAGGGAGGGAAGGAGGGCGGAGGAAGGAGGGAAAGAGGCCAGCGATCCTTCTCCTTTGGGGGGATTGTTTGAGACGTCCTTGTCGCCACGGCTGGATCCGCTCCGAATTCCTGGTCTCACCGCGCCGCAGGACAGATCTGGCTTGTTGGCTTTGAGATAGAAGGAGGAGGAGCAGGAGCAGGAGCAGGAGCAGGAAGAGGGAGGAAGGAGGAGGAGGAGGAGGGGGAGGAGGAGGAGGAGGAGGGGGAGGAGATAGAAGGAGGAGGAGGGGGAGGAGGAGCAGGAGCAGGAGCAGGAGCAGGAAGAGGGAGGAAGAAGGAGGGAAAGAAGCCGTCGATACTTGTCATTGTGGGGGCCTCCATGAACGCCTGTGCCGCAACGGGTGTAACGCGCTGCAGGAGGCCCAGACGTCGATCTTGAGAGAGAATAGCGAGGAAAAGGAGGAGGAGCAGGAAGACCCAGACCTCCAGAAACTCGAGAATGTAGAAGCTCAAGTTGTTCCGCATTTTCGGCTTCCCGAAGCTGGCCTCGGACCTCAGGACTGTCAAACAACGACCTGGAACGAAACCGGTCCCAGGGAAAGGGTCGAGAGGTCTGGGGGCACGAGACGCGAAAATATTGAGTCGTCGGAGGTCAGGGGAGGAGGAGAAACATCGAAGTTGGAGTTGTGGGTCTTGAGGAGGATGAGTCGGCGGCGAGAGTGGCAATCGTCCATGCATTGCGTACCATTCCTTGCAACAGTACGTGCAATAGTTTGCAACTATTGCTGGGGGGTCGCGAGTAGGCGACAACGATTGCATATGAAATGGGATCCACAAGTGCATCCGCCCTGAGCTGTTGCATCCGGCGCGGGAGCTGTTGCATCCAGGCGCGGACTATTGCAGGTACTATTGTACCTCTCCCCGCGGACCCATCTGCGCCAGACCCACTACTCCAGCTTCGAGGTAAGGAGGAGGCGAAGGAGGACCAGACCGACCAGACCGGCACACAGAGTGACACTCGAAGTCAGCATTGCCAATCTTGCCGACGTGATCGCCGCGACCCGTTGTATAGACAGGTCAATGACCCACTCCATCAGCGGAACGCACCGATGGGGCGTCATCGCGGGACAGGCGAAGGAGGAGGAGTGCAAGGGGTTCCCCGTGCCCCTCTCGATCTGTCACGCTGGCCTGGCTGGGCGGCGATCGCCCTGCGAGCGGGCCTTGTCGCACGCCAAGTCTCCTCCGTGCGCTCCTCTCCAATCTGCAGTCGACCTAGGATGGCGGGCGGCCTTCGGGCATCGGGGGGGTGGGCGGGGGAGGGGGTCAGTGGGAAGCTGGCGGGCGGGAGGCGGAAGTCGGGGAAGCGACGAGAAGGTATATCTCGTCAGGAGACATTGGCGGCGGTCGCGGTGTGAAAAATGCCAACGTAGGCTCCAAGAGAAGGCAAGAGCAGGTGCGTCAGCGCGGCGGCGGGATGGGCAGCACATGCTTCGCGCAGGGTTGTATACTTAGTTTTACTTGGAGTGCTCAATCATGGTGTCGTGAGGGCTGTTTCGTAGAAGTCCGCTCTTCGTGGGAAAGTAGCGACGGGAGATGTTGTTGGCAGACGCCGGCCTTAGGTAGTCTCCCCCCTCCCCTCCTATTATTCCTATTCCTCCCCGACGTGTTCCAGGAAGGGCTTCCATGAAGAACGCATGGTCCAATACCGTGGCCAAGCCTTGCCCAAACGTTTGGCCTCGCAGGCGTATCCGACAAGGCAGGAGGCTGCGGTGATTCGCAGTAATCGTCTTTGATAGGGATAGTCTCGGAGTTGATTAGTCGCGATGTTCCCCGACGCGAGGGTGCCAGGAGGAGGACCCAGCGAGGTGGAGCTCCACGAGTTCGTGCGCGCGCTGCAGACTGCAGCAGCCGCGGGCCCGCCGCCCGCGGTGCCGGAGGAGCTCAGGGCGCAGCTGTATATCCTCCGGCCAGCCCGGGTCTTGCGGAGGGGGCAGGTTCGGCTTCACCCAACCATCTTGATGCGATGTGCGCGTCGCTCCCAAAAAGGGGCGACGCGCGCGGTCAGAAAATTTGTTGTATCTGCTCGGTGGCGGGCGCTTTCTGGCCATACCGCAGGGGGGAACGATATATACAATGGTATGGTTGTGTTGTAACCGCAGAGGGTCTTTCATGATGCCCCCCCCCCTAAGCTCTCGGCGGGGAATAGAAGCTCGTCCCTCCTCCTCCTCCTCCTTCCCCTCCCTCCTCCTTCTGCGGTGCATGTTCCAGTGCGCGCAGCAGCGGTGGCGGTGGTGTGTCGGAGAGGAGGAGGAGGAGGAGGAGGAGGAGGAGGAGGAGGAGGCCGCCAGGCGTTGAGCGATGGGATTTCTGAGCACTTCTCATGACCTCTCATGCATCCGCCGACGAGAATTCTTAATTTCCGTCAGTAGGCTGGCGGATAATAGTTATGTTCCCATTATTGCCCCGGGGTGTATTAAACACCCTTTGGGGTTATGCTCTTGTCGGACGCACGCCTCCAAGCAGGACACATAGTACTAGTATTTCCGTCTGCGTCCCCCATGTGTATTATCGAGCCATCGCAGAGCCGCCTGCGATTCGATTCGATGCGATTCGATTCGCGGCCTGGGCCCGCGATGCCAATTCAATTCGCTATGGCTCGGTTCACCCGCATCGGCCCGGGCCGGCTGGATCAGGCCGTGGCGATCCGATTTCGAGTTGTTTCTGGACGATTCGTTGGCGATCCGAATCGGTCCCCATCCTATCCGACTTTCGGCCACGCACAGACAGTGGTAGGAAGAGGGGGGAAGGCTCCCTAGAAGCACCCCTGCTTCTTAGAAGGCGCGGGCCTTCTCTATGGATGTAGGGCTGACGCCTTCTCAGAAGCTTTTCCCCTACCCCCTTGCGCGCGCCGCCAACATTTCGCGATTCGAGCCCCAGACACGCTCGCGTTGTGAAATCAGGACGGGGGGGTTGGCCGTTTTCGGCCTCCGGGGGCGCTAATGGGGTCCTGGGACCCTCAAGAATGGGTCAGGCTGAAAAAAGCCTGTCCCTGGGAATGTGTCGGGACTTCCGGGGACCCCGTCTTGAAGACATCAAGAAGTCGCATGTCTGGGGTTGGCTCAGGCCTGCACCGTGGCCCCGCACCCCAGTTACCTTGGCCACTCAACCGGTAATCGAGCAGCTGGGGCCGCAAGGTCGCACAGCATCGCCGATGGCATCGGCGATGCGGCGAGCGCTGGAGTCCGATTTCTCCACCCAGACGTCGCCGATGCATCGGCGATGCGATGCGATGCGATTTCTCGACCTCATTCATGTATCCAGTTACCTGCGGCGAGTCCCGCCACCGTGCCAGCCCAGCGTCCTGGGTCGCGACTGTTCGAGGGGGCCCCGGAAGGCCGTCACGTGCGACACCTCGTGATGTCAGGCTTGGGAGAGCCGCGATAAGGATGGTGAGGATTATGATGACGATGGGGGTATTGACGGTGATGTCGATCGACGGTGATGAGGATGGAGATGATGCGGATGATGATGATGCTGATGATGATGGTGATGATGATGATGGTGATGGTGATGGTGACGGTGATGGTGATGGTGATGGTGATGATGGTGATGATGAAGGTGATGATGATGATGGTGATGATGATGATGATGATGCTGATGCTGCTGATGATGATGATGATGGTGATGGTGATCGTGATGGTGATGATGCTGAGTATGGTGATGTTGATGGTGATGGTGACGGTGATGGTGATGGTTATGGTGAGAATGATTATGCATACGTAGCACCCCGCAATTGCGGATAAGAGTGAGGGGGCGGGCGCGGGCGACGCGGGCGTCGTCGAGCCGGCGGACCTCGTGGCCCCCACCTTCCCTGTCGATGGCGCTCTCCTCCTCCTCCTCCTCCTCCTCCTCGTCCTCGTCCTCGTCCTCATCGTCATCGTCATCGTCATCCTCCTCCCTCGTCCTTTCCTCCTCCTCCTCATCGTCATCGTCATCGTCGTCCTCCTCCTCATCGTCGTCATCGTCCTCGTCCTCCTCTTCTTCCTCGTGCTCCCTCTCCCCCCCTCGTCCTTTCATCATGGTCCTCCCATTGTCGTCCTCCCTCTCGTCGGCCTCCATCATCGTCCTCCCACGGTCGTCCATCATCATCATCATCATCATCATCATCATCATCATCATCATCATCATCCCCCTCCTCCCCCTCCTCGTCCTCCTCCTCCCCCTCCTCCCCCTCTCCCCCTCCTCGTCCTCCTGCTCCTCCTCCTTTTCTTTCTCCACATTATCCTTACATCCTCTCTTCTTCCGCGTCCTCCTCGTCCCCTGTTTACTCCTCCTGCCTCCCCCTCCTTTCCCAAGGTAACTGCAACGCAATCCTTTTTTGTCCACGTTACGCTCCCCGACTTCTCTGATCAAGGCAACTCGCCAGGGCAAAGTTGCTGGACGGGCTGGTGTGGATGCGCGGGGCTTGAAGAGGTCCTTGCAGGCTCAGACGGCAGGCAAAAATCCGCAGCCGCGCTTGGGCGGCATTGGTTTGTTCAATGAACGTGGTTTGGGTCGCGGGTGGGTCGCGGGCTCCCCACCTCCAGCTGGAAGGAATGCGAAAGCAGC